CCACATGAAAGTACTGCTCAATAGCTTTCATTTGAATGGTCACACACTAGGGTTTCATCCACAGACTCAAAATCCTGTGACCATACTAAATGACAATACCTGTTTTACAGCAAATTTCGTCGTAGTTGTGATTTCCATCCAACCATCTGTTGAAGAAGAAGTTTCAATAAAAAAGCAATTTCAGTTTTATTAGTAGTTATTTTATTATTTTAGAGCAGTACAATGGTTTAATATCTTTATCCTGGCTATGACTCTGTAATGTTTAAGCGAGCTAGTTTTCTGGGCCTTGAATTACATTCGATGTGACTGAAGTTGAATTGGTCCTAAGCAAACCCCGACGGCAACAAGAACGGTTTAATGAGCAGTATAATAGCTCTGCACGTGCGTTTTACATCTTGGTACATTTCTTAGCCGTCCTCTGCAAAACAACAACGTGAAATGACCAAATTCTGCGGTTTTCAGTGAATGTGAACTGGCAACGATGACTTTTTAAAGTTTCCCTTTGAACGCTACCTTTACATTTTCATCTGAGGATAGTTCTGACACCGATAGACAAACTGAATGGAACTAGAGATTTGCGAGATTCTGAGAAGTAAAATACAAATTCATGTTTTAATCGACGTTATTCTCAGCTTCGCCATCGACACGAGGTGAAAATCTCACAAATATTGTTAAAACTCACTTGTCCGCAAGCTTGAATCTGTTAGCTTCGGAGTCGCGATGCCTTCCTCTCAGCCTGTGATGACTTCTGGGTATTGATGACGTAGTCTTGGAAGGTGTTGTAAGTTGGACTGGGTATTTATGCAGGCGACGAATAACTCCTGTCAACATGCCAAATTGGATTAACCGCCTGGAAGAGAAGAATGATTGTTGGTTTCGTTAACCCTTTCACTCCAAAGAGTGCCAAGCTCAAAACTGAAGAAAAATCTTGAATGCCATTTTGCAAAATTGTACCACATGAAAGTACTGCTCGATAGCTTTTATTTGAATGGTCACACACCAGGGTTTCATCCACAGACTTAAAAGTAAGAATCACATCTATTGGCTCAAGGTTTGACTGTGGGAGTGAAAGGGTTTCTACGTTTATCCGCTCGAAAATATTCGTTGCCGGTTCGAACAGTCGAGAAAAGCGTTCAAACACGTTCACAAAACGTTCGTTTGGCCGTTTATTTTTGCCCGTTTGAACGGCTAACAGTTTAATAGTGTACGTTTTCCCGTGGAAGGTCACAACTCTTAGGGATATTAAAATCGCGGTGACCATAGAGCGGTTTTGCTTTACTACGTACTGTGATTGGTTAAAAAACTCACGCCACCTCCTCAGCCAATCAGATGCAAAACCAAAACCAATCACAACTTGGTCACACGCGTTTTCCCGCGCTTGGCGCCAGTTACGTGAATTGCGTCGAGTTCTCATTGGTTCATTGTGTCGTTTACGATTGTTTGTGATTGGCCACTGTAATATTGCTTTGGTTTTAGTTTTACGACACTCAATTGAAAACTGCTCGATACACTCACACTGACTTCATTACGTCATTACCTCTCATCCACGCGAAGATTTCCGGGATTGTACCTCGTACACAGGTCTCTCACGGTTGCCCCTGGACTGAGCCCGCAGTACAGCATGAAGACGTCACGGAATGATGGCGGGGCTCGACCTGGAATTAAAGTTTTTAAAAGGTGATTAAAATTGGTGGTTACATTTTTTGCGAAATTGAATACACTTCGAGTCAATTTTTCCGTGAAATCGCGAAAATTAATCCTCGCGAAATATGGCTCTGTCAAGTCTTACATACATGTAAGTACCTCACCTTTCTTTCCAACGTACTTGAGACATTCCTCTTGTAATTTTTTGGTCGTGAGTCAGCTGGTTAACATCAGGTGTAGGGATGTATACATTGGAATACTGTAGGAATTGAAGTTCTCATACTAATTACAAAGGAAATCATAACCGTGATGGAGGTTTGGATAACTGGTCTTATTATACGACATGACGTTTTAGAGTGCGAATACGCACAAAGAGAAGAGCAGATATATAGATGTTATTGAACTAGCGTGAGGTCCGTATTGGGAAAATATTGGTCGAGTTCTTTTTTTGCAAGTTTATGGACCGAGCCGAAGGCGAGGTCCATAAACTTGCAAAAAAAGAACGAGACCAATATTTTCCAATACGGACCGAACAAGCTAGTTCAATAAAGTTTTTATTATAATGGCTTTTTAAAAAATTTGCTGAGAAATTAGTGCAACCATTCTCGCTACCGCGCGCGCCAAAGCTAAGCATATTCTTGCATTTTTGGGCCACTTTGCGAAAAGTTTAACCAAAATTGTCCGCCAGACATGAGGAAAAAATTTCTTCTTAATAGAAAACAGTTTTCTTTTGTTCAATGTTTCATAAAAAGAATTGGCGAAATGAGTTCGTTAGCGGTTCCATCTTTGGCGGTCCGTATTGCAAAATTCGGACCGCTCAGGGAACCAATCAGAATGTTCCTTTTCATCGTAGACCAGTTTGCCATATAATAAGAGACCGTATTACACGGGTCTCAGTCCCCCTGACCGCATGCTACGGAAAACACTGTTGAAAGCCTATATTTTTAGGAAAGATATTATGTCGTATAATAAACAATTTATTCAGCGGAAAGTTGTGTTATACGGCTGGGCATTTTTACTCGTCAGTGTTTATTTTTTCTCGTCTAAAGGCTCGAAAAAATAAAAACTGACTCGTAAAAATACCCAGCCGTATTACACAACTTTCCGCTGAATAACTCTATTTATTATACGACGTGACGTTTTAGAGTGCGAATACGCACAAAGAGGAGAGCAGATATGAGACCGTATTACACGGGTCTCAGTCCCCCTGACCGCGCGCTACGGAAAACACTGTTGAAAGCCTATATTTTAGGAAAGATATTATGTCGTATAATAAACAATTTATTCAGCGGAAAGTTGTGTAATACGGCTAAGCATTTTTACTCGTCAGTGTTTATTAATTTTTTTCTCGCCTAAAGGCTCGAAAAAATAAAAACTGACTCGTAAAAATACCCAGCCGTATTACACAACTTTCCGCTGAATAACCTCTTTTTACACAGTGAAGGGCGCCCTACCGTTGCCACTCGACAAAGTTTTTGATTAATTTTCAACAACTTTTTGACAACTTTCTGAGGCTTCCATTTAAACTAGGAGATCGTGAACGTGGAGCTTGACATCTCCACCTCTCATAGTTCTTGCATTTCGATTGGCCAGTTGAAACGAAAGCCATCAGAAAGTTGTCACAACCATGTCAAAAAGTTAACAAAAATTAATCAAAAACTTTGTCGAGTGGCAACAGTAGAGTAGCTCTTCGCTGCAATTAGCATACATTTTTACGATAATATACTTCTCCGTTTACTCCTTAGTTTTTGTTTCGATGAGAAGATATATCAAATACCCCCTCAAGCAAATTCCAGATACCTCGAATTTCATCAAAAATACTCCACTTCGCGTCATATTTTCAACTCTCTTCTCGGGGTTTTGGAAAATTCGATGAAACACTGTCTTGAGTGTTTGACACATTTTAAAATGACACCTTATAATAGACCTTTCTCCAAAATGGCCGCCGCAAATTCAAAATTATTAAAATTAAACTGAACGGAAAATCAATACCAGCACCTGAAAGACCACCTCTTGTTTGGTAATCGTACAAAGTTTTGTTAGGTTAGGTTTCTACCTGAGTCGAGAAAACGGAAGTTGAAAACTGGAAAATTTAGAGACGTTTGTATGACTGGGAGTATGGCGTATGGCCCCAGTCATACAAACGTCTCTAAATTTCAACTTCCGATTTCTCGACTCAGGTAAAACCTAACCTAACGAAACTTTGTACGATTACCAAACAAGAGGTGGTCTTTCAGGTGCTGGTATTGATTTTCCGCTCAGCTTAATATGAATTTGCGGCGGCCATTTTGGAGAAAGGTCTATTAACTGGAGGGTTTCATTGGGCAGCGAAACTATACTCTTCAAAACTGTTTCAACGGAAGATGTGAAAGAAAAATTACTTACCTGAAAAATAGGAATGAGCTTCACGACTTTATACTGACTGTGAAATAAAAAAGACGGCTTCATTTAGATCATCTATTAAATGCAACAAGGAGTTTCAGG